GCATTGAACCTATAGGTAGTAATCTTCCAAGCCAATGAACAAGATCAGTATCAAGAGGCCGGCACATACGATGATATAGAGAAAGTTCAAAGTGCGGATTACCTAGCCATAGGTTGATAGTTTTATCATAGCCCCATCGGCTTTTTGAAGGCGCTCGTTTAGAGAAAATATGATAATAGAAATGTAATGTACGTTTATTTCTGCTACGTCCGCACGGTTTGACCCGATCTGCTCGGCTCCTACTTATCGTAGCGCGATGTTTTATAGCTTTTAGCCTTCCTTGATGTGGAGAACCTAACGGGTTATCGGGGCTCCGGTTTGACGTGCAGGAGAAAGAACGGGGTGGTTTTTAGTTAGTAAGAGTCTTACACTCCCTCCCGCCTAACCCTGGCGGGAGCAGTCATTCGATGATTTTCCCCCCTTAAAAAAAACCTTCCTCGATAGATGGGCTATCCAACCCCATTTTTTTTTAATCGGTGATTCCTGAGATTAGTCAAATTAGATAGTCAAAGTAGATTCTTTCAAATACAAACTCAAAGCATTTTTGATACAGAAAGTATATTACACAATCAATGATTTTTTAAATGACAAATGTATAGAATAGATAATATCTAATAACTATTGTATTGTATAACTATTGAGTTGGGGATTTTTTTGTGTGAAATAATTTGGCTAGAAAATCATTAGTACATATACCTATACAGACTTCGCGGTTGAATAATGTACACCGTCGATATAATCATTTTTAACCGACTTCAAAAAAGGAGGTTTTCGATTCGACCTTATATTTGCTTTTTTTTTTTCTTGTAATCGACTATCTTGTAATGTATGACTGTAATGTATCTACGACTAAGATGTAACATGTCTATGACTATGATACCAACGTAAATATTGTACTGTAATTGTGAAAATTATTATGGTGTCTTTAATTTAAAATTTTTATACTTTGCACGCTTGCTCGCAGGAGAATACAATGACTTTGAGGCTATAAGATCTTCCTTTGTAAATATGTATTCTTGCAAATAAATGAATTTGAATTTGAATTTGAATTTGAATTTGAATTTGAATTTGAATTTGAATTTGAATTTGAATTTGAATTTGAATTTGAATTTGAATTTGAATTTGAATTTGAATTTGAATTTGAATTTGAATTTGAATTTGAATTTGAATTTGAATTTGAATTTGAATTTGAATTTGAATTTGAATTTGAATTTGAATTTGAATTTGAATTTGAATTTGAATTTGAATTTGAATTTGAATTTGAATTTGAATTTGAATTTGAATTTGAATTTGAATTTGAATTTGAATTTGAATTTGAATTTGAATTTGAATTTGAATTTGAATTTGAATTTGAATTTGAATTTGAATTTGAATTTGAATTTGAATTTGAATTTGAATTTGAATTTGAATTTGAATTTGAATTTGAATTTGAATTTGAATTTGAATTTGAATTTGAATTTGAATTTGAATTTGAATTTTGAATTTGAATTTGAATTTGAATTTGAATTTGAATTTGAATTTGAATTTGAATTTGAATTTGAATTTGAATTTGAATTTGAATTTGAATTTGAATTTAGTGCGTTCAAACAATCAAACTATTTAACTTTATATTATAATAGTACAGTGAAACTTGGTTAAGTGGGACCTGGATAAGTGAGAAACCTCCATAACTGGAACTCATGCTGAGGTCCCAACACTTTGGCACTGAATTACCTCTGTTAGTGGGACGAGGTAAACCTCTATATCTGGGATTTGTTCTTTCGATTTATCATCATAGTTACCTCTATAACTGAGACAGCGAGTAAATTTTATATGCATAAACCTCTGTAACTGAGATAACATTGTTTACTCATTCTTATTCTACCCACAAATTCCACACGTAATTCCAAGTCCACCTCTATTAATGGAACCCTCTGTAAATGAGACAGATATTTATTTATACCTGTATATCTGAGACACTGGGTAAGTGGAATACCTCTATAAGTGAAACGATATTGCAGGTCCCTTGATGTCTCACTTAACCAGGTTTCACTGTATATAAGATAAGATATAAGATATGATCGATCGTATTCTTAGAACTTGATTTGTGCATTTACAAAGCGAACCATTGAGCCAGTTTTAATTTGGTCAGTCGAATACATTGATTTTTTTATGGCATAAGCCGGTAAACGAGCAGACGAATCACCTGATGGTAAGCAATCGGCGTCACCCATTGACACCTGGAACACTAGATCCGTTGCAAGTGCGTTACCGGCCTTTTGGGGATAAGGAGTTTGATATTGCTAAATTGTATATTGTTTAACTTAGATAACCATTGTAAATGTGAGAGCCCTGTAATTAACTTAATATTAAATTAGATTAGTAGATTTCATTTGTGTCAGCTTGGAGTTGTCATGCTCACTCAAAGGTCTCATTGGCGGTGGCGCGTGCAGTGGATCGCTCGATTCCCTACAATATGGTTGAGTTGGGCGGTGCTGGTGTACGTGTCATGTTCGTGAACGGGCGCCGTCAACTGGGACTGGTCAGCTCCAGACTGTATTACTGTCCTTAAGGTTATTTTCTTTTTTGATCACTTTGACTGGATTTTAGTGTTACATTGTTCTCGCACAATCCAAACAGCAAAACTATGTAACTAGTAAATTGTATTGTGAACCTGATTGAAAAAGAGTAACCTATGGAGTTTCTTGCTCGTTCTTCTCCATAGGAATCTACGCCTTGGAATGAGCAAATAGCTTCACTTTAAATTTTTGTTTTTGTTGACGTTCAAAAGTGCCATTCTGGCCTAATTGAAATAAATGATTTTGACTTTGACTTTGACTTTGACTTTGAGGATTTTTGGGGATTCGAGGATTGGGGAGATGGGGGGGGGGGTAATTGGGTCTTCCGTAACTTACTTACACCACGAACCACAACGCAAGCGTTGCTTCACGTCGGTTTTCAGTGAGGCCGTGGTATCACTCCAGTCGCCCCGGCCTATTCGTGCCAAAGCATGACTCTCCCACGCTTAAAACGTTTGATAACCTACATTCAACACTGTCACTAGTCGGAAAACTTTTCTCTCCTGTGAATCACCTAAATTTCCAATATGAATTCAACAATTACATTTAATACAGTCACTGCATAGCTGATCCACTGAGACATGACTGTAAACAAGATCATAACAAATTGCTGTCATAAAACTATCGAAATGTTGGCAATAAATATTGATACATGAAATATCAGGGAACAATATAATCGGTAGTAAAAGCTTTAGTGTAATTGTTTGTTCAAGCTCATATTGTATGTCTTATATGGCCAATATTGGACATATTGTGACAAATTTCGAAAAAACACGACTACAGATTATATCAAATTATAATATGGTGTATAAGCGAAAGTCAGTAAATATTTTTTAAACTAAAAACATACGTTTTATCGAAGGCACTCCTCATGGTAAGTGGTTTTACCGCAGGACGAAAACGATCATAAATTTCACGTTGTATAGAGTTTTATTAGATTCTTTTGAAATAAAAACATGTAGTATATAATTATATATATAGTATCGTGGCGTACGTAGTATCGTGGTGGGGTCTATGTCCAGCCGTCAGAAGAAAAATTGGCTGATTATGATGATAAACATAGAATTTACCTCAATATCCCATTACACTTGTAAATAAAGCAGTTTCTTCTATGCCAGATTTCTTTAAAATCCAATCAGATCACGAAACCGAGGGAACTCGTTTAGACACACACTGTAGCAACCACAGATATAATAAAGAAAATATTTCTATGGTAGCAACTAAACTTATTATACAACTCGATGCTTCGGCTCGAAGAGCAGGAGTAAGAACAGGGTGGGTTTTAGTCAGTAAGAGTCTGACACTACCTTTCACCTCACCCAAGGCGGTAGAAGATTTCCCCCCTCATATAAAAAAGACCACTGACAAAATATTCCCAAATATTGTACGAAATAGGTCGCACCACAAACATAAAGTTCAATATTATTATTTTATCCAATGTTGGCCATAGTTGGTCGTAGTTCACAGCCAATAAACACGTAGATTAGAAGACGTGGATTTTAGTACCAGTATATTGCATTATTGTGTTATTTTACGATGCATTACGATGACTTCGGATAGTCATATGTTATGTGCTAGCGAAAATTCCTGATCTAATTTAGGTGGTTCTGTTATATGTCGGTTATTTATTGGCTATTGAATTATTGGATCAAAGTGCTCTTTGTTTATCGTTGTTTGCCTGGCATTGAATTGACTAATGGAGTTATTTCAAATTTACTCTGTTTATGAGTTATATCATCTGCTAGTACGCTCGTCGTGTTAGTGTGATCACAAGTTTGAATTATAGCCGGAGGGATTTAAGTTCAATTCTCGAGTTAACTTGAGCTAAGCGTAGAATATAGCATCTTGATTTTTATTCCTTACTAGCTTCTGCCTAGGACTTCGTACGCGAAATCCCGTTTTCTACCGTTCCCGTAGGATTTTCAGGACTTTTTTCAGTCATAAGGACCTTCTCCTGACAATAATAAATACAACAAAAAAAAAAATCAGCCAAATCGGTCTAACCGTTCTCAAGTTATGGCGTGACAACGGGTAACGGGTTTCATTTTTATATATATACTTAGATAGATGGAAAATTAATACATTAAAGGCCGTGGGGGTCACCGGTGACCGACGTTAGTGGAGGCCTTCAGCCTTCATCAGTTTTCTATTGGCAGTCAAAGGCTTAAGCATAGATGCGCTATTATACTAATGCATCACTTGATTTTTGCTGGAAAGCAGCCTAATATTATATGGCAATGGGTTTAAATAAATATTATAATAATTACTATTATTGTGTCTCTCTGCATCACCCTAAGGTTGACTGTTAGAGAATGCCACTAGGAATTAAAGTCCGCCATTGTATACCTACAAGAAGTGTAAATAAATAAATAAAAAATATATTAAAGATTATTTGCTCTTGATGTTGTGTATCACATCTGTAGCTCTATGTATTGTTCACAGACAATGTGGTGGCTACGATAATGGTCCAGGTCAAGGCATGAGGCGAGTTGGAGTGAGGAGCTCGCCAGACCTGTCTCCCAACAGAACAGTGACGAGGCAGCTCACTTGGAGGATCACTAGTGCTACCAGGTACATGCATAATTAGTACCTATTATAAAAACCTTTTTGGTATTTGTATTGTAACTTTCGTGAGACATACTAAATAAATGATTATGTTTTCGGCTTACTCACGTAATAATTTGACGAGGAACTCGACTAGTTTCAAGCCATGCTAGAGGCACCGCGCCGCGTCGCGGGTCGCGAAATGCTGCGCATGAATGATGAGCCTCTAGCATGGCTTGAAACTAGTCGAGTTCCTCGAATAACCTTTTTTCAGCTAATCGCATTGTAATCGCGTACAAATATTTGTATATAAATATATGTACAAGCTGAGTTCAAACTGAAAATCTCCTTCTTATTTTGAAGTCCGTTAAATATACGTTTTATGTATAAACTAGCAGACCCAACAGACGTTGTCCTGCACATCCACTTGAATGTATAAACAAAAATTCATTCAAATTAGTTCAGCTGTTTAGGATAAATAACCTAAACATCGACTGCAGCGCCATCTGCCGGGCTGATTTGTGAATCTAAATCATTCCCAAATCCCCTTGAACACACAAAAAATTTCATCAAAATCGGTCCAGTCGTTTGAGAGAAGTTCAGTGACATACACACTCACAGAAGAATTATATTATTATATATAAAGATATCATCAGTAAAGATATGTATCACCCTAAAATAGAATTCTATTTCCAAGACATACAAGTTCTTTTACATAGTTACGAAATAGCTCTAAAAAAACAGCAAAGAACTACATTACCTACATACACTTTTCTCCTTATTGATATGAATAACAAGTGACCCTTTACCCTACCTAACGTTTGATCTAAATAAAGTAAAACCAAGATTTGTTTCATTGCAAATTCAATCATATAGGTTCAAAGGGTCAAAACATGTGGTCATTCAATGGCAGGGATCGTGAAACGAAAACAAAATTCAACTCGGTTTATTAGAAAACTTTAATCGATTAATTGATTTGTTAGTCGAAAGGTTACAAGGGTATTTACCGAGCTTGCAGCCACGAGTTTGATCCTGGATCAGTTAAAACATGTTTTCTTCTCGCTTTCATGATACTGCTGATCGTTTCAAGGATTACCTAATTAAAATAAATGCTATGACTTTGACTAGTAAGTAACTAAAACTAAAAGGTAATCTTTCACTAAACTGCGAATAATCAGTTTAAAATAATATTATACAAATGTGTTATATTCCAACCAACAATAATATAGTAGACCAACGGTAATGGGCTCGCTGCCATTGCAGCGGTAAGTCCCCTCTTTGAGGAGTGGCTTGAGAGACGCTACGGCGTCCTCACCTACCGCCTGACGCAGGTCCTCACCGGACATGGAAGTTTCGGGAGGTACCTGTGCCTGATGGGGCGGGAGGAAACGCCCGGGTGTCATCACTGCGAGGACCGCCCTGAGGACACGGTGGAACACACAGTGGGAGAATGCCCTGCGTGGGCTGAGCACCGCCGTGCCCTCAGGGAAGTGATCGGCGATAGCGACCTCTCGCGTCCGACTGGGATGCCGTCTCCTCCTTTTGCGAAGCAGTCATGCTAGCTAAGGAGGAGGCGGGACGCGTGAGGCAGCGAAGCGCTGCCTCCTCGCAACCCAGCCATCGCGAAGGACACACCGGGCGTCGGGGATCGCGGGACGATCTCCGGCCACCGTTCTGCGTCACCGTCGCGTTCCGCGGCGCCTCAAAGAGCCATCAGACCACCACAGATGGGGCCCAATAGGGCCGATGCTGATTCGGAGTCGCGGAGAACCTAACGGGTAACCGGGGCTCCGGCTCGACGTGCAGGAGAAGGAACGGGGTGGTTTTTAGTCAGTAAGAGTCTGACACTCCCTTCCGCCTCACCCAGGCGGGAGCAGTCATTCGATGATTATACCCCCTTTAAAAAAAAAAAAAAAAAAAAAAAAAAAAAAAAAAAAAACCAACGGTAAAGGAAACCATCGTGGGGAAACCTGGGCTTATAATTTCTAATTATAAGTTTGAAATCGCCAACCCGCATTGAGGCAATCGTGGTGATTAATGCTCCAACCTTCTCCGTGTGAGAAGAGGCTTTGCTGAACAATGGGCGTTTATAGGCTGTTGATGATGATGATGATGATGTTGAATATTAAAAAAAATCTAAGATTTTACTGTATCTTAAAGCTGTGAAGAATGATTAAATCGTAGCAATGGATGTCAGCTGTAATGAAGATTCTATTAATAGATTACTACACAGTAATGAAAGTAAAAAAAAAACGCAGTGATATAAATTAACTGTTTAATCCCCAATCGGTTACCGGTGACAGCTGAAGAGCTGTGTGAGAGTCAGTGGAGACTTACTCCATTATAAACATTATTTATTGAAAGCGCATCACACATCGATTCTTGTTTTCTATCTATCTATCTTGTTATCTATTTAAAGTCTCATGTGAAAGAAGGAGCCGTTTCGATAAAATAAGCCGATTGTGTAATTTATTAGATTAACTTTTTTTTAAATGAAATAATTGATGTACAGATGAAAAGAGTTACGCTGTTCTTGTTATATCAATAAAAAGTTGACCACTAATTTTTAAATGACTAATCGGTAGACGAGTAAACAGATCACCTGATGGTGAGCAATCGCCACCCATGAACACCTGAAACACTAGAGGCGTAACAAGTGCGTTATCGGCCTTTTGGGAATTGGGAATTTGAGGATTGTGGGGATTCAGGGATTGGGGAGACTGGGGAGGGGGGTAATGGGGCCTCCGGTAGCCTCACTCACACGACGAAACACAACGCAAGTGTGGTTCCACTTGTCGCGGAGAACCTAACGGGTTACCGGGGCTCCAGCTCGACGTGCAGGAGAAGGAACGGGGTTGTTTTTAGTCAGTAAGAGTCTGACACTCCCTCCCGCCTCACCCAGGCCGGAGCAGTCATTCGATGATTTCCCCCCCTTAAAAAAAAAAGATGTTGTTCCACGTCGGTTTCCTGGGAGGCCGTGGTGTCGCTCCGGTCGAGCCGACCCATTCATGCCGAAGCATGGCTTTCCCACACTTAAAATTTGTTAAAGATTACATAACCGATACAGAAACAAAAAAAAAGCACCAAATACAAACAAAACTCAACTCTATTTCCTCTCCACAGGTCACAACGCAACAAAGTGGGTATGAGCGTCTCCCATCCTCAGCTATCCTACATGAACGGCTGTGGAGGTACAGGCTCCTCGGGTCCGAGACGAGGTCGGGATGTGGCCACTCAAACTCCACCTAGCATAGCTGCTGAGACGAGAAGAGCAAGGCTGAGACCCTTGAAATTAACACTAGCAGCACCTAACGCTTTGACACTTAGGTAAGTGGAGTTTTTATTATTATTTGTTGATTATGGAGTATTTTTTGGCTAATAATATGGAAACTCTTAGTAGTAGCACGGAGTCTGGAATTGTGCCCAATGTATGGTAATAGGCTCACCCCCTATTATATGGGACTCATAACATAAATAGTGAAAAGTGGTACAGCGGCTATCGCTTCGGGGATAAAAGGCGTGATGTTATGTATGCATGCAATATGGAAATTTGAATATTATTATGGTCCAAGGGTGACAATTAATGGTAGTGGCGACCTCTAGTTTTCTATTGCTAAGAATTTAAATAAAGTAGGTTGTATTGATGACTCTGTTAAATTAATAAACAATTAAGGCCCTAACATGGTTCCGATCCCTCAACATCCTAATATTTTTATACCAGTATTGACTACTTCAATATTAGTTTCGTTCTATTTTAAGTTGTACTCGTATATATTAAGTAGGTACTATTAAAATATAGTTCACAATGAGAAAATGTAGCAAACATAATTATACTCACCTACTCATTTCTAAAATTAAAAACTAGGATTCAATTAAAATACTAAATTAACCTTATTTGATTATGGAAACGACGTTTTCATTATAACAACATATTTATTGTATTGAGAAAACAAGAATTTCAATCTATCATTCAAAGACAGGAAAATGAGAAAATGTCTCAAACAATTCGACAAGCAATAAAAAAATATTTCCTATCATTTTCCTGTCTCCAATGTCTCTTGAGTACAATTTCAAGAATCAAAACTGTCGGTAGATAAGAAAACAATTATAATCGAGGAAATCAATTTTATCCTTATTATATTGTACCACTGTACTTTTTAAACTGATTTATTTCAAAAGTCAAAGTCAAAATCATTTATTTCAATTACACTAGAAAGGCACTGTTGAAAGTAAAAAAAAAATTTGAAATATTAAAATAATGCTGGTCTGTCGGTTAGTCCTCTAGTGAAGCTAGTAAATAGCTCGTTCCAAAGTGTAGATTCCTATGGAGAAGAACGAGCAAGAAACTCCATAGGTTACTCTTTTTCGATAAGGTTCCCAATACAATTCTTGGTTATATTGTTTCGTTAGTTCAATTGGTTTCTTACTAGAAATATGAGAAAGTTTTCAATCAGATAGTAAGAAACTCCAGAGTTTGATTCCCGAGCCTGAGAGACCTATATTGTTTTTGAACTACTATTATTTTTTACATGATTGAAATATACTAGTTTCAATTAGACCGTGAAAAAGACCGTGATTAATGTCCTAATAAACAAATCATTCATCCGTACCTACTCCATAATAAAAATGAATAAAGTAATGTATAAAATTTTACTATGTACTACCTTTATAATAATTCATTATAACCTACAAAATGTAACCTGAATTCTATTTCCAAGTCGTAAAATTAAACCTAAATCACTTCTAGATATATTTCGGATCCAATTTGAGTAATAAAAGGTTACAATCCCATTATAAAGCCAGTTCAGATAAGATCCGCTATTGTAAAGTATGGCTATAAAACTTTCAGTGGCTTGAAGTCAAAGATGCTCAAAGTTTTCCATTTTTTCAAGTACCAACTTTTAGCTTATGGCTTCGACGTCAACTGTTAACAGGTTATTCAAGACTCGGTTGCTTATCAACAAAAGAAAGAACAAAAAAGGCTTCCTATCAAATTCGATCATGAGTAACTCGAACTAGACTAGCCAGACAGCATAGTGATGCAGGAGATATTATAGTGCACAAGTGTGTGCGCAAACAAAGATACACTCTCTATTCTTTTCCTCTCTAAACTTAGGATTATAGACCGATACGACTAAAGAGAAGTCAGTCTATAATCAGTGATCAACATGATGATAATTCCCTTTCGTCCCATGACTCATAATAAAACTAGCTATAAGTACTACAATTTTACCTTTATTTACCAAACATACTACCACATCGGCTAAATAAAATGTACACTCAAACTCTCTTATTTCGTCAAAGATATTTTCTACAGAAGTTTTCAAGTCAAACTGTATGTCATTACCCAGTGTATGTATCTTGTTCAATTTCTTATACAACATTTGTCATTTCCTTTGTTCTTACTCGTACTTATAACTAGCTATTGAACAAAAGTATTTCTTTGAAACTTTGAGAAACGCTGGCAAAGAGAATGCTCTTACATTTTCAATGAAGGTTTTAATACAACTTGGTTCGAGAGTTTTCAAAAAGTGATACCGACACCTTGTTTTATTTATTTAAATAAATTGCGATGTAGAGGTAGATTATGCTTTGTTTGTGTGTAAACAATTTCTTTAATTAAATGTTATTCCTTACTTAAGTTTCACTGACAGAAATTTTAAGCTAACTCACGTTACTCTTTTTCGAGAAACTCGACTAGTTTCAAGCCACGTTAGAGCTTATATTCATGAGCAGCATTGCGCGACAATCGTTGAAAGTCGTGTGTAAAGTGTACACATAAAACGCTAAATGGTTTTTTACTGTTTTCATTTTAATTGTGACTGTTATGCTTTCTCATTAAATATTCCAGTGTTTTAAAAAGATAATTCTGTTGTCCCGTCAGATGTTTTAACCGCAGCAGAAGTTACATTAAATGTCAGTAATCAGTCACACAAAAATTAATGAAATTATTTTTTCTTTGATAGAACTGATATATTTAACAGATGTTACAAGGAAAGATTATTAAATACTTTTGTTAAATTTTTAAAGGTTTTTCTTATAATGACCTAGATAAGATCTAAGTGAATAACATATTTAATACTCAAGATTTAAATATAAATAATTAAAACTAAAATATTTACACCTTAAAAAATAATAATAATGAAAAAATAATAATACCTAATGAAAAAATAATAATAATGAAAAAAAAAATTATAAGGCATCAAAGAAAATATTTTTCTCATCGCTACCGTGAGGTAGGGTGCCCAAAAGACTGGCAGCATTGCCACGTTGAATGGCAATGCTTAACCTTTGCCCAAGGTAGTAGCCAGCCCTTCGATCACCAATCATAATTTTTAAATGATGACATGATAGCATACCTTTTAATGCTCGAAGGTATAGGCAGAGGTGCACCTCTTTAACAGTATAAAATGCATCATATACTGTTAAAGCTACTTTTCAAGCGTTGTGTTAAAAGTTCTATATATTAGGAACGCAACACAACGTCAAACCGAATATTTTTAAAGTTCTTTCATGTGCTGAAATACGTCAAAATAACAAATTATATAATTTCGGTCCGCAAAATATTACGCAATATTAATTATAATAGGCCCCAAAAAACCAGTCTAAAATTTATTTTTAAACGGAAAACAAAGGCACGTCTCCACGTCTCATCTCAAATTTTAGCTAATAATTCTTTTCAAAGATAAAAAGAAGATGTCAGTCTTACAAACGTGATGAGGTCTACTAATTACTTTGGTACAAATTAGCGCTGGCGTTGGTTAAAATTTTGCTAAATATTCCCCAGTTTTTGGCTAGTATGTGGAGGATTATTGTACAGCGCGGATTTAACATTAAAACTGAAATTAGGTGCGCTTTGAGCTGATAAATAATGAAACGCGTTCCCGTTTATTTGTCATTAATTTTTAGTACAGCTGTGTTGGTAGCTTAATAATATGCTTTAGAGAGATTATTTGTAAAATGTGTTTGTTATGCAAACACATATTATAAATAATCAGTATAGAAAAACTATACTGATGACATCGATACCTATGTTTCGTTTCCGCTAAATTATTTGTTAGTTATCTGAAAAAAGTGTTTGTGTTAACATAATCCACATGTATCATCGTGCTAACATAATGCACTCAAAGTTATCTATCACCATAGACTATAATAATGACCACAGATTCATAACCATCATTTAATCCGGTGGACTAGTAGCAGTCAATATCAGTTCATCAGATGACTTCAATACCAGATGTTTAAAAACGTTTTCCCTTCCCAGTTCTCTTGTTACATAAATGTCCTTAGGTTACAAAATCCTATGGCAATATGATTGAAAGAAAGAAAGAAAAGAAAGAAAATTTTTTATTTGCACACTGATACAAGGAAATAAAATAAGAAACAATACAAAGAAAAAAGACGGCGCAAAAAGGCAAGAGCTCAGCTTAAATGCCGTGACACGAGTGTGCTCGAGTCACGGCGCTGATTTTCAGCACTTGCCCGTTACTAATAAAATATTACATTTAATAATAATAATAGAAAACAGTAAAAAAAATATATATATACAATTCAAAATTAAAATAACAAAAATTATTTGTACAATAAATAAAATAAATAAAATAAATAAAATAAATAAAATAAATAAAATAAATAAATAAAATAAAAAAATAAATAAAATAAATAAAATAAATAAAATAAATAAAAAATAAATAAAATAAATAAAATAAATAAAATAAATAAAATAAATAAAATAAATAAAATAAATAAAATAAATGAAATAAATAAATCTCCCGAACTAAACATGCGTTTAGTTCAGGAGATTCATTATATTTGTCAGCTTGACACTGACATTTACATAACAGATTGTAGTACTTATGTTTCAATGACCGCATTTGCCAAAGCGCTCAGTTTAAAAGTATACCTTAATAACCTCAAACGTTCACAAAGAGACAAGATAACCTATTTTAAACTGAAATTCAGCTACAATGTTAAAAGCTACGAATATTCACGCTCGGGAAGTATCATAAATGCATATTTATGAATCTGCAACTGAATAAAATTTTCTGTTTTTGCATTATTTTGAGTAAACTAGCCTTGAGATACTAAAAACTGTTGTTTTGATATTCTTAACTTAGTACGAACATTTTTAAAACAGGTTAAAAAAAATAGTTTGTCAATTCAGCTATAAACTGTTTATTATTTACGGCTATTTCAAAGTCAAAGTCAAAATCATTTATTTCAATTAGACCAGAAAGGCATTTTTGAACGTCAACAAAAAAAATTAAAAGTGTAGCTATTTGCTCATATTATACATATAATGAATGTTATATTATACTAGCTTCTGCCCGCGACTTCGTACGCGCAATCCCAATATTTCCCGTTTCCGTTTTTGATTTTCGGTAAAAAGTAAAAAAAAAGTATTAGGTAAAAAGTATCCTATGTCCGTCTCCTGGTTCTAAGCTACCTGTCCACCAATTTTCATCCAAATCGATTAAGCCATTCATGAGTTATAAATAGTGTAACTAACACGACTTTCTTTTATATATATACTAGCTTCTGCCCGCGACTTCGTACGCGTAATCCCGTTTTTTCCCGTCCCCGTTCGTGATTTTCGGTAAAAAGTAAAAAAAAAAATGTTGGTTAAAAAGTATCCTATGTCGGTCTCCTGGCTCTAATCTACCTCCCTACCAATTTTCAGCCAAATCTATTCTGCCATTCTTGAGTTATAAGTAGTGTAACTAACACGACTTTCTTTTATATATATAGATAGATAATTAAAACATTTAGATTTTTAAATGATGTTTACCGAGAGACTCATCGATGCAACACTTTAATATACAAAACTATTCGTTAAAAGCCCCTAAAATAAAAAGATAATAAAAAAATTTAAGTAAAGCAGTGGCACAAATTACTGTTACGTTCGTAACAAGTACAATACAATAACATTTGTTGAATTCACGATACGCTGAAATGTACAAGAAATTACATGTCAAACTTAATATATTTCGCTTCAGGCAAACACAGATCCAAATGTTATGTTATTTGTAATACATATCGCTTCATATGTTAACAATAAGTACAATTATCAAAGACTTTAAACCGCTTGGCTTTACAGCTTTACAGCCATCAACAATAAAATAAAAACGTCAATATACATTCTCTGATAAATTTTAAACCTGGCTATTAATAAGATAAGCCTGTAAATCTCACCTGTCATTCACAAAAATATGACGCGGTCGTTAAAAACAAAATATAAATGACATTTAAAAATAAAATGGCCGTAAAAACGATATCCCTTAATCTGGAAAGTCCATTGAATGGAATGGTCCAATAGAAAGTGCCAATCAAACCGATCTGTCGGGCTTAAAATATCAAACGGTAATAGGGCTCATCAATCAAAGGGACAAAAAAGGTTTGAAAGATTTGCGCCTTCTTAAGAACCTTATTAAGACCTCATTTGTACCGGCCTTTTGGAGCACCCTTGTTGTTTATTTGTCAAATATTTTTGTACTTAATTTTAGAAGATAATTTCCTTATAAAAAAATGGTGAACGGTGAAAATCTTATTAGGATATAAGGACTGTTTCTTTGATATTAAGATTAGTTAAGGTGCTTCTGAATATTTTTATTGGCTATTAAACGCTGCGACGAAACAACAGTTGCGTTTGATACCCTTACAAGTATAACAAAGTATAATAGTAACACTTTTTACTAATCTAGAAAGGACCACTTTCATGTTTTTACACATGTAATATAAGATGCTATTTTATTAATACATAAACATAAACAAAATAAAAACTTATGATAAAAATTAAATAAAAGAAAACTAAAATTAGCTATTTACACAGAGCATCGAAAAATTCGTCCGCATCGACGTCAGTTGGGAACACATTAGGAAACAGTTATTTTTACAAATGTTTTGGCCTTATGGTGTCTTATACTAAGCTACAGCACTCCTAAAAATCCTCAAGGTCAAACAAAAATATATATTTGTTTCTTTTTGTTCCAGATTCCTAGCTAATCGCAAAAAAGGGAGATCCCTATCAGCAAACGCAGTCGCAAATGAACAGAAAGCAACCAAGGTGTTAGGCCTCGTGTTCTTCACGTTTGTGCTCTGTTGGGCGCCATTCTTCTTGCTCAATATACTGTTTGCTGCGTGCCCAGGGTGTATAGTCCCAGGTAAGTTATGGTCGAGGTCAGAATTGATTTATAGCTGGCAGTTAATCGTGTCCGAACATGAATAGGGGGCGCTTGAAATCATACCTCGTTTGAATTGACTCTCTGTGGTGATTTTGCAGTTTGTAATAGTGGACTGTAGTGGCTGTTAATGTAGTATGGTATATTATTATTTATGTTGTGATACTTTTTATGTTAGAGTTTGTAAATTAATATTGGTTCACATGATGGACTTAGAAAACTAAATACTAGTCCATAGTTCAATTCAAAATGTAATCGAAATAATTGGGTGTGTTTAATAACTAGAATTTGATACTTTCTTTAGTAAAAAATAAATTATTTCGACTGTTCAATACAATATAATATTAAAAAATAATCACATTTTCATTAATTAATTTTATGACCAACTAAATTTTAGTATTTAACCATCAAATGATAAAGAAATAAGTATGCTGTTCGACACTACAAAATATGACGTCACAATACACAATCTCGTACAACATTCAAAGAAAACTGTCGTTTTTGACAGTTAGAAAAAAGTATTGAATTTGACTAGTTATCAAATACTCAATTACGAAAGGAATAGTAGAGATGTGTTTACCATTATGTTTTTATTCATTTAAACACAGCCCATTCTCCTAAGGCGTTAGTAGTCTTGTAATTATAAAACAGTTTAAATCCTTCGCTACTAAACGAAATCTGGCTAACAATTGTGAAAGTTACAATTTGCAAGTGTGAACGGTTCCAAAAGATACAACCATGTTGAACGAATTGCTGCCTGTAATACTTATATTAATCATAAACCGTGTCAATACATATTCGTGTGAGGTAGAAACTTATTGTTTATTGGGTGTGTACTTTATTAACATATGATATATATCAAATAAATAATTTATAAGACAGGCAGGTCATGTTAGATTAAACATTCAGTTTAAGTTTAGACTTGTGTGGTAGCCGCGGAAGACTTAACGGGTTGCCGGGGCTCCGGCTCAAAGTGCAAGAGTAGGAACGGGGTAGTTTATAGTTAGTAAGAGTCTGACACTCCCTTCCGCCTCACCCAGGTGGGAGCAGTCATTCGATGATTTTCCCACCTTAAAAAAAAAGTCTGACACTCCCTCTCACCTCACCCGGGCGGGAGAAGTAATTGGATGATTTTCTTCCCTCAAAAAACAGACTTGTCTGGTCTATCACCCAAATATTCATGAAAACCAAATAGTTGTTAGTTAAGTGACTAAAAAACTCACTTCTTGAACTCCTAGATACATTACAATTTAGTATTATGCGACACTTTAAAATGAAAAAAGTTTCAAACTCAAGATTTAGTAGGCCAAAGTTTCAAATTTTTAGCATACAATGTCTCTGCCAAAATATGCACAGGCTGTTTGCTTGCCAACAATATCTGATCAGTAATTCACTAGATTGTATTTTTGGTCTTCAGTGCGACAGTAAAACAGTGGTCTTTTGTTACTTGCACTGTCTCTCACATATGAGGGAATTCTGTATTTTGACGAGTTTAGAACAACCATGCAGTTAATTAGCGAATTGTCCTTTCAGCTACTAACAACTAAAAACTACCGCAAAGTTAAGTTCAACGGTTCATTAATCTGCCGTCACCACTCGACACTGGCAGTATAGTCGATAACTTCGTTTTGGACACTCGGTTGCCAAAGAGGGAAATAATAATAATAATAATAATTAGCGAATTCTGACATTTTGCCCAGATTATTAACTCTTTGAGTACCGTCATTATAGACACAATTAAAGAACAATAGGTTGCGGTCACCGGTGTCTTCGCGGTGTTTGGCAGTTTAATATATTTCATGTAAATTCTATAGAATTAAGGTAACATCTTTTCTACAGAGCATGTAGTGGACATCTGCCTGTGGCTGGGCTACGTGTCTTCCACCATCAACCCCATCATCTACACCGTGTTCAACAGGACCTTCAGAGCCGCCTTCGTCAGGCTACTGAGGTGTCATTGTACCAGGTAAATGTTAAATATTGTATATGTATGTATTACAAGATCTATGTTACGTTATATTCTTATAACGCGTATCACTCTGTATTTCTTTAATTTTTTGTCTAAAAGTAGGTACATAGCGATCTTGGACAGTTTCATAGAAAACTGTTATGAAAAAAGTTAGTGGTGTATTTTTTTCCAGGACAAGATATCTTATTAATGAAAAAATAATAATATTATCAGAATATTTTTTGTTGTTATTCCTAATTAAATGAAACGATAAAATGTGTGGACTTTTGATGATGATTCATTCTATTTGTAACTAGAATGTAACCAAAAGTATGACCTCAGCTTTTCTGTCTTTATTCTCTCTTCTCACAACATAATAAACATTTTATACGCTCAATATAAAAATATAACTACAAAATGTTTTAACGGTACAAATCATTTAATTTTCCATGAAAATCTGAACATTTAATCCGGTTTCATAATTTCCACGAGCTAGTTCGAAACTAAAATAAAGAGCGATTACAAAATAAATATATTTATGAGTACATAAACGCTTATAAACTATCTATTTTGTATATACAATAGAAGATTAATATTTCCGTAATAATTAAACCATAACTATTGATGTTTACGTCTGTTGTAGAGTAAAATACGTAACACATGTAAAATATAGCTTCAAATGAATTTTATGACGTTGTAACACTAAATTAATGGACATAACATTATAAAATATTTACTAATCTTGTTAATATAGTGTTGCACGTCATACATAAGAATATAGACATAATTTGTTTACATCGTAGAGATGTACATCCTTGTAATTTGTACACATTTTATTCAGCCATAACCATATAAATACCATCCGACACTGGCAGTATAGTCGACAACATCGTATTGGAGACTCGGTTACCAAAGAAAGAAAAAAAACTATATAAATGCCACAACCGTTTGTAAATATGTATACAAGAAAGACGTCATTTGCAAAAGAAACCATTGCATTGGTCAATCTTGTTCGGCAGTCGAGTTCATAGCTACTCCACCAACATGGCAGTCAACTTCTATATTTAGTTTAAAATTTCGAAATAAACATTAATAAATGAACATTTTGTATTCTTTTGGCAATATAATCATCAAAGTCAAAAGTCAAAGCATTTATTTCAAAAACCATAATTTGGTACTTTAAAAACGTCAACAAATACAAAATAAATAATAGTCTGTCAATCAGTCCGTCCGTGAAGCTAGGTGAAGCTAGGTGCTCATTCCAAAATGTAGATTCGAATGGAGAAGAACGAGCAAGAAACTTCATTCGTTACTCTTTTTAAAAAGTGACCAAAGATGCATTCAATGAATTTATTCCTTTTTAGATTGGTTCAAATACCATATAATGTGTGTAGTACTCGTATTTTATCGATTTTTAACAAAACTGTATTTCCTGGCGTATATCCAAAACAGTTTCCGATGCGGACGCAATGTAACATCGTCGTGTGGTTGTGCAGATGTATTTGTTGACAGTTGCAAGTTCAAGACCGGGGTATATTTTCTAGGTCAGTTGCTAGAAAACAGAATAAAATCGTGAATTTTATATCTTGAACATTAACTATGCTGAACTACGGATCTCCTATACTATATATAAATGGGGTGTCCTCTAATTTACACGCTTAGCAACCGCAGTTTAAAATTAGTCTTAATTGGTTCTTGCAATATGTGCGGAATGAGAAAGGATGGTGATGAAATGTGAAAACTCTGCATACACTAAACAGCAAGCCCATGATAACAACTAAATAGGCGAAAAAATAAAACAAATAAAACTCACGCACACAAATACGTCCCTTTAATTAAAAAAGTACACAAAAGAGAATGTTTTCAATAAAATCTTCGTTCTGTGAGAGACAAGACAATAATTCTTATGTGAACCCGCTAGGATCTTAATTAAGAAAACAATGATTAATCCGTGCATGATTAAAACCACGCTGAATATTAATGAGAAGATCCAAACATGATAGGGGCAGGCAAAATGAGATAAATGGCGTTTACTTAGATACAGACCATTTGTGCTTAAGAAAATGTTGCCTATTTTTTACCATACCATCTGAAGCCTTTCTTATAAAACAACACGTATCCATATTACGGAATCTCCAGTCATCTACGGTACATATTTGTTTGTGTTATTTTGATAGTTCAAAAATATTATTTACTACTTACTAGACAATATCTGATATTTAAATTAGACTGAATAATTGAGATAGCGGTCAAACTTAAATATAAAAAATTTACTATGCAAATAAATTATACATAGTTCAGGTTATAGGTACACTCACACAATACTATGTAAACACTGTGTGCAAAAGCCTTATTAATTTCTGAAGTGAATTAGGCAATTTCCTCATATCAGACAAAAAATTAGTGTTTGTAATGGATTTTAAAAATGGATTGTCTTTCTTCCTAGACGCGGCCGCTGCACCCGCTACCGGTCTACGGGCTCAACGCGTGGTGCATCTCAGCTCTGCGCCAGATCAGCCCTACCTCTAGCCATATCATTACGACCATCGGCCTTACCGTCATCATCACCAGCACAACCAGATACTACCGAAACAGTATTAATAGATCAACCAATAGGAGATTTTAATATTAGATATTAGGATAAGATTTTATTTATATCGGTAAAACGTGTTGAACCAATTTAAATGCCATAATTAAAGTGACAAATTGTGTGACATTTATGACAGCTGTCAAATCTGACAGCTGTCAAGTGTCATTTTATGTAGTTATGACGCAAAACATATCGTGTCGTAGGTCATTATAAAGATTCGTCACTGTGCGAATCAAAATTAATGTTGAAAATAAATCAGTCTTGTCATTACTTATTTTATTTTTTAATGAATTTACAGAAATTCTTGATCTAAAGCTTATGTTGCATGAATGACTGCATGATGGGTTTTGCGTCATATGAATAAGATATTGCAAATTTTATTATTCTTGTTATTTATTTTGTCCACAAACATGATGAATAGAAATTTATAGAAATGACTTTACCAATAATTGTGTGGTATTACGTTCTGTGTAGGTACAGTTAGGTTCTATGTTTTATTCGATTTATGTGCCAAATGTCAACGAATTCCAAAGTTTTTGAGAAAAACAAACATATTTCCATTCACTGCAAAATAAAATGGAATGAACCTTCATAAACAAATGTTATTTTACTCTATCTTTGATTCTTTTCTGAAATAAACTCTGACGCATTTCTAGAAAGATCTGTTCACCTTGTTTAATCCAATACATGTACCTATACTGTAATCGTGAACAAAATGTTTTTGTTTTCTAATTGGATACTACTGCCAAGGTAAGGTAAAGCAATTGACGTAAATGTATTAGATTTGAAGTCTGATGTAATTCTCTTTTGTATTTAGAATTAAACTGACACCTAATTTTTGTGAATTTTCTTTAGTGCCAAATGTAGTCCGTTTATTCGTGTGAGGTATAATAAATATAGTGTATCTTGGTTTTATGTTTGGTTATGTATTGAGAGACAATGTCCTACGGATCTGTTATTTTAACTTAAATAACCACGGAAAGAATAATATAATGAACATAAATGTGTAATAACATGACGTCACACATTTTAATCTCCGCAGGGGTAGGAAGAAGTACGCATATTACCTTCACCAATTACACGACTTCTAGAATTACAGAAGACGCAATTCCAGACTCTGCTACTACAGAGATATCAAGCAGAATTACATTATTTGAAAAAAGAAAGAAAATATATGTTTAATTCTATTTCATATTTTGAACTGATTTAAAAAAGAGATGGCGCTGATTAAATAGATAATTGAATTACTTACATTATACCAAAATGGTAGGTATTACTCTGTGTACGTTATATAAAAATATTAATTTATAAAAATTTTTTTTTCTACTTCATGAAACACTAATGGAATATTTATTATTTCTATATTTAAGACTATTTTCTTTTCATAACACCCAATTATGCGATAACGGTATTATAAATCTTCATTGAGTGAACACAGTAAGGAAATAGACGTAATGAAATTTTTACCTTATTACCGTTCAAAAAAAATTTTGTGGATAGGTAGATCCTCAATTACAAAAATGAAGAAATTTCTTTTTCATCATGATAACAATAAAAAATACGATAAAATCAGCAATAAAAGATATAAAACCAATCAATCTGTTTATGTAAAAAAAATAACTTTTAAACAATAGTGTCATATGAAAACCATTTGATTACAATATTACCAAATAATATCTAATTTACATTATAATATTACCTAATTCTACTTTTTTAGGGGGTAAATCATCGAATCACTTCACCCTCCTGGGTGAGGCGGGAGGGAGTGTCAGACTCTTACTGACTAAAAACCACCCCGTTCCTTCTTCTGCGCTTCGAGCCGGAGCGGAGCCCCGGTAACCCGCGGTTCTCCGCGACATCTATAATTCTACTCGGAAAACATTATATATTGAGCAAGTAAATATGCATGGATTTGTCCAAAAAATCATAAAAATCATTCGTCCGTATAATTCGGTAATATGTTTTAAATTAAATTGTATGAGGTGCGGCGAAACGTCGAATTACACATCATTTCTTTCATCGTAGGCAGCAAAATCCATCTGTCTCTACGGAAATTAATTCCGAATACGTATTTCGTTCACATCAAGTTATACAATACCAGTTTGTCATGGTCTTCCCTCATATAACTTTTCTCTTCATTGAACGGTCATTTTATACTGGTTCTGTATAGCTTAATATGTTGCCGTGCGTACGAGCCTAAAATATTTCGTTTCAGTATTTGGCTTGTTACGTACTTAAATGGATTTAAAGTGAAAATATTAATATTGATTCAGTGGCAACTTGAGAGGAATTCGTAAGTAGATTTATTGAAATGTGTACTACTGTTGATTACGTAAGTGAATCGTTCTTATTACGTGAGCTGCAAGATTTATTTTTGTGTAACGTCTTTTAGTGCTTTTAAAGCTGTTTAGTATTCATACAAAAAAGTTAATTTTATGCTATGAATATGTTATTCGCCTTCATGTGTAATAACTAATGGGTATATCATTAAATCAATTTTTTTTGTTCTACTTAAACATTTATAATTGTCTTGGAATTACATTTAAATATTTCCTACAAATACGGTTTTATGTCAAATAAGAGCTTTACAAATTAATTGAACAATCCCTCCACTAATAAAACTACCAATAGTGACAACAATTAACTTGACAGGACCAAATTCGACAGTGGCGCCAATCCAACAAAAACTCATTCACAAATCCATAGTGTTGGGGAAATGTGCAAAACGAGAACTATCGATAAAAAACTTCGTACGTAGGAACATAAAAGAAACAAATTGTTCTTCATTAACTTCTTTCGGTGATGCTAAAGTACGTTAATCGCTTAATTAGTGTCGTTTTTCTTTTCGCAAAAGATTAATGGATAGGTCACTACAAAACTTTCAGTTACGTTGTTGTTGTTTGACATTTACTTTTTTAAGAAAAAAGAGAGAAATAAACAAGGTCTTTCTAGCCTCTAGAGACAAAATTATTCAGCGTAAAAAAAAAGTTAATTTTGTTCTAATTTCTGCTTGCGATGAGAAAAGAAAATGGCGGTCATTACTCAGTTAGACCTCAAAGAATTACTGTATGAAAATTATATGCACGTGCTTGGCTAAAAAATGTAACAATGGAATTGTTTGCGTTCATTTTTTGTATTACCTAAGTATTAACCCTTACATATTTTTTTAATTTGATTATTTTTTAATTAAATACAATATGTATGCAAAGTGGGAGTTAAGCAGCAGTTCTAGATAAATGAAAAATGTTCCTAAAAGATAAATTGAATAACTAACTTTCCATTAACTTGTCGTGTAACATTTATATAGAGGAAAGCTAGTATACAACAGAACTTTTATCATTTTCAAGAACGAACCGTAAATTATTACTTGAACAACATACTTGAAGTTTTAATTACACCGTAAATTTTGTTTAAAAGTGTTTTAAACTAATTAATTGTATGAACCTTGTCATGCTAATATTTATGTTTCATTTTATTAACTGCCCATTAGGGTCTCAACGTCGCGGAGAACCTAACCTAACGTAACCGGGGCTCCGGCTCGACGTGCAGGAGTAGGAACGGGGTGGTTTTTAGTCAGTAAGAATCTGACACTCCCTCCCGCCTCACCCAGGCGGGAGCAATCATTCGATAATTCCCCCCCCCCCCCTCTTATAAAAAGGGTCTCAACACATAAAGTAGGATTTTGGATTTAAATTTAACTAGGCAGTTCAAACTATTATAAGGATGTATATTTCGAAAACAAGGTTTACAAAGAATAGGGCAGATGACAATTTTTTTTTGTTTTTTTATGGGATAAGCCGGTAAACGAGCAGACGGGTCACCTAATACTAAGAAATTGGCGTCGCCCATAGACACCTGGTACACCATAGGCGTTACAAGTGAATTACCGGCCTTTTGAGGACTAGGAATTTGAGGAATGTCGGGAATTCAGTGATATTAGGGGATATTAGGGGGATATTGGGCATCCGCTAACCTCACTCACACGACGAAACACAACGCAAACGTTGTTTTACGTCTGGTTTCAGTGAGGCCGTGGTATCACTCCGGTCGAGCTGGCCTATTGGTGCCAAAGCATGGCTCTCCCACACTTAAAACTTTTAATGCCCATCTGGTAGATTATTTTAAAACATTAGACTCGTATTTATTATTTTCTGACAGAAACAAATCCATTCGACGATATATTGATTTGAAATAACGAGTGACGTTACTTCTAGGTACGTTTTACATGTAGAAATGACATTTTATCTTCAACTTCTTAACATTGATTGGTTTTTTTTTATTTATTTATTCAAATAGGTATACCAACAGCTTCTGCATACATAGCATTAATTTTATCTACTTAGTTTAGATTAGTTTTATCTACTTCTAAGTATTGTTTTCTGCTATGACAAAATAAAAAAAATACGTGTCTAATATTTTTTCGAACGGACTAATTAGATTTTTAATTTGCATATGTACCCCTATATTATACATAATTTTTTTTATTAATAATTCTCTCTTGATTGCACGGAATCTGGAATGTCTTCAATATAACAATATATTATAGTAACAAGATTTTAATCTCTATAATACATGAAACTTGTGGAGAATTAAAAGATGTATTATGTTTGACCAAATTATAAATCAGATCGCCATCTCACTTCTTCTTACCACCTCGGGGAGTGACAATTGTATTATTTTATTCCTGTACCCAAAGCTATAAACTACAATTTCTCTCGATACCATATTACGTAGATACGGTATTTGTATTATTTATTTGACACTAAATATGTGTTCCGAACACATTTGATCTATAAATCTCAAGGATTCCCTTTCATCTCCTTTAGGTATTACTTCAGACATAGGACTTAAATTTTTTTTTATTTTAACCGATTTGTTTCTGTTTGTAATCGCAATCGAAGTCATCATCTTGTCAGCCAGAGGACTATGGCTTCTAGCTCAACCGGTCGGTAGTGATTTGCACCAAACAAAGTCCTGCAACTCTGCAAATCTCTATAAGTTAGTTAATTTGTTCATCATCGGAATGAGGAGGCTGCACTTGTATAATTA